AAAGCGCGAGTTAGGATATATATTACATTTATATAAAACGTTGTAATAACATAAGTATTTTGACATAAAATCGTACTTTTTCTGAAATGGCATACTTATTTTTTCCATATTTCGATTCAAAGACGCAAAACTGCAAGGTTTTGTAGAAAGCGTGCTAGTAGTTTTTAAAAAATTAACTCTCAAAATTGTAGCTCCTCAATGTTAATTGAATTTGATATATATTTATTAATATCGCTTTCTTTATTAAACTTATGTGATTCTACCTTTCGTAATTCGAGATTTAGGTTCAATGCAAATAAAATTCGCGGCTGTTTTTAATTTATTTTTTACAGTTATGTTTTTAGTAATTTTTATAAATTTTAGGAATACATTTTTGAATTATGGTGTACAAAATTTTACAACCACCTTAAAGTTGATGTATTTCTATGCACACCTGAAAAAAAAAAGAGTTTTTTTTTGTTCAAAATTTCCAAGATACATGTAAATTTATATATTCGCGCGTTTTGATAGTTGGCATATTTGTTATAAGCGTACGCCAATTATGATATTTAATAAACAAAGTTAAAGCACAAAATGTTAAGAATAAGAAGACGAAAAACACTTTTGCTAGCCATTTTAACTAAGAAAACTGAACATTGATATGATAAACTGAGAAAGGCTGAGCTGTAAAGTCCCTGAACGCTGGTAGTTCGGTTCGCGGTTCGAATTCCACGAAAGGGCTGACTGCAAGGGCGTTTTCGCGGTTTTTACATGTGTAACGTGTTAAAACGAGCCAGTTTCCCTAAGAAAGTCCTCCACGAAGGCATCCTTCCCTTCCGTGAAGTGCCTTAGTGTGGAATACGTAAATAATAATCATAATAATAATAGAAATTTCACGGAAGAATATATACAGTATTCTAAATTATCATGTGGAACATGTTTACGTATTTTAAACTTACTTTAAAGGTACAATAAACTTGAAACGGATATAAGGTTTGAAAAGTACAGAATTACTTTAATATAGCTGAAGGATCTTTAAAGTTTTGAAGAACATATTTGTTTCCGCTTTATGTCAATACTTATCTGTCAATGTTAGCTTAAAAGAGATCACCGAGAAAACATGTTATATCTGTAAGCTCTTACCTATGACCTTTTTTTGACAAAATAACATAATTTGGTGAAATGAGGAAGAAGCTTAAACCAATTTTCTATCCTCATTTATAAAAAGCAATCAGGGTTTAAATTCAGATGGAGTTTGAATCTAGTATTTCTCAATTTTTGAACGGAATCTTTCAACAAGCAAAGCATCGTTCAAAGCAAGGAAATCGTACCAGAACACTGCCCACCAGCGGCCGAGCGGTAAAGTCGTTGAACACTGGTGGTTCAACCTGCGTTTAATTTTAGCTGGCTGTATAGGTATCCTCCTGGGTTTTTCCACATGTAACTTGTATACGAGCCAATTTCCCTAAGAAAAATCCTCCAAGAAGGCATCCTTCCTTTTACTCAGCTAGTTCTAGCGTGCTTTGCTAAAATTAAATACACCAAACCAAAACGTACCGGAGCACCCCGTTATACGAAATGATATTTTGTTGTATAATTACATTAAATATAAACACAACATTTTGTTGTTAATGCAAAAATTCTTTTATAATCTAGCACACGCCCAGCACCAAGCCCCTTCCGGAAATCCGTAAAGTGGTAAATAATAGGTAACCTGCGTGATTTCACGGATAGAATAGGGCCTGAATTATTCATACGGAAATGAAAAAAAAGAGCAATGTAAAAAAATGTGGGAAGGTTGTTTGAGCTAATACAGCCTAAAAAACAAGCAACCTATAAAAGATATTTGAGCACCCCAATTATATTGAAATAATTTTGTTGCTGATAATTACATGCAAAAAAAATTCAAATAATCTAGCATGATGACTGATATCGATTAGGGTACTATCGGTTTGGGGGCCCTAAAAAAATAGCCCAAATTATTGTTAATGCCAGTGCTGCCAAAAATGAATTGCGGCAACCCTATGCAAAAAAGGAAGTATAATAGTAAATAATCATCTAAGATTGATGTTTTAATTTAGATGAAAGGTTAATTTCATATAATACTTTATTATTATTATAATTTATATAAAAAGCCTCAATGAAAGCGTAAGACTGAATGAAAGCGTAAGAGTAACTTATTTCAGATCATTATTATAATTTATATAAGGATTGCTAAACATAACTGAACGGATGCCTGCATCGCTATTTCGCTACTGAGTTATCGCTAAAACATAATGTCATCTCGTTGGTTGTTCAATTATAATTTTCTGTAACGAATGATGCTTTTTCTTTGGAAAAGTTCTCGGTTTAAAGTGCAGAATCGCCCACTTATTTGTTTGCCGCCTTTTACAAGGGTAAAAACAATTGGAATTTTGTCAATTTTCTTTTACTTTTTAAGTGAAAATAGGTCGATGTGTACATAGATAAAGTCAAGGGTGTGCGCAGTGCTATTTTTGTGCAATTCTGGGATTTTTTTTTCAAGTGAAAATAGGTCGTTGTATACATGGATACCGGGTATGTGCAATTCTTAAAAACGCGTCAAGCAGTGGTTGATTCTGCACTTTCCCCAAAATTCTATTGCAGACTTTTCGGCATGGGCAATTCCCAAATTGTTCAATCCATAGGATATCAAAAAAGGATTTAAAATAAAAAAATGATTTAAAAATTAAACTAGTATTTTAATGGCGTCTTAAGAAATATAGAACTATATAAACTTACGCAAACTGAAATCAGCGCGTACGCTAGATTTGGCGCGCTGTTAAATGGGCGCGTTTGCTAGATTTGGCGCTTTTAGGCATACATTTTCGCTGCAATTATTTTACGGTCCTCAAAACGGAATAGTACCGATTATTAGTTACAAAATCTATGACTCACTTTCCTTTAGTTTTGTTTCGCCTATTTGATTATAGTAAAGCACGACAGGGCTATCTGCCTAAGGAAGAAATGAATGGAGAAGATTTTTTAAAAAAAACTAGCTCGTATCTACGTTAGACATGCGTATAACGCCCATACAGCTATCCCGTTTTTCTGAAATCGAACCAAGGTCGAACTACCAGTATTCAGAGACTTTACCGCTCGGTCAAATGTTATTTTTTTATGACGATGAATATTTATGGACTTCTACTACCCATCCGGTTAAGAAGGCTTTACATGAATTATAAATTATAAGGAATAATAAGAATCAATTTTATATGAGCGGGAAGACTGCAGTTCGAAACTCTTCTTTACCCTCGGTGTATTGTATGCCTTATTATCATTAATTTAATTGCCTTTCATTTGTTCTTTATTTCATTTCGTTTTTAGGATGCATTGGTTTAATATAACATATCATTCTTCTGTCTCCGATTTATATCAATATACAAACATTTATTGCCATCAAATAATATCGCCCTTATTAAAGTAATTAAATAATGAAGAATTTGCATGTATGTAAGCAACTTTCTCGCAGTGTGAAGAAACAACGATACCTAGAGCCATCAAAGTTTGAATAACGTAGCCCTCCACCCGAACATGGACACTTGGAAGTCCGAATTCAGAATTCTGAGTTTTAATTACCTATTCCATATTTTGTAAAACTTTAAAGAATTTTGATTAACTAACTGAACGATTTCAATGTGAACAGAGACAACACTCTCCGGAATATAACATATTTAATTCTAGTGCGCGAGACTGTCTATCAGAAATTCTAAAGATATGCTGTTTTTAAATATTTTGTGATTTTTTGCCGTTTAATTGAATTTGATGTGGCCAAGAATGTGATAACTTAATAAAGTGCACACAAAACGTTAATAATAAAAAGACAGAAGTTTTATAAAGCCAGCTTAGTAAGAAAACTGAATATCAATATAACGAACTGAGAAAAGACAGGAAAAAAAAAAAAAAAAAAAAATCATAGAAATGCATGCCATTACTCAACGCTTCACGCTGTGTTCAAATACAAAGAAAATGCTCCAAACACACGGAAAAATAAGTAAATTGTGTACGTAATAGGACTGCAATAAAATTATTTTCATTGCATGAAATAATATCAGTAACTATAAGAGTATATTTATTGTTCTACGAAGTATTTTTACAAAAATACATTTTTTAATGAAATCCAATGAAAGGAAAATTTTGCAAATATTTGACGGTGCGAAATTGCAGAATTAGAGACATGTAAGAAATTCTGGATGAAGACTACGTTTCAGATGACATGGTATTATTTTGTATTCTTTAATTAGCATTTGGAAGATAAAAGATAACAATGAAATTCTGTACAAAAAGACATTTATGAATTCAAAATGTTTTTATAACATGCTATATAATATATAGATATATATTTTTTTTTTAAATTTTAAAACGCCGATTCTTAAAACTCTGAACCAGTCTTCTTGAATACTTGCTTTTATCCAGCATTGTAATTATTTAAATTCCAAACCGTCATAGCTATTTCTGTTTTTCACGCCACGAAAACAAAAAAAACTAAATACTTTGAATTAGACTTCGATTCCTTTGTTTAATATTTGGCGCGAAGCCTTCATTATATTATTAAAGTATATTATATAAAGTTTAAAAAATAGGTTATTATACAGCATAATTTGTAATACTAAAGCTCATAGAACAATAGGATATAATATTTCATACAGCATAATTTTTCATACTTAAACCTTATAAAGTAATATTTACTACAGCAATGATTTTTAAAAGTAATTTTTTAAGCCTTTCAATCCGTTCTTAACTATTTTTACCTTAAAATTTTCGAAATTTCAGCCGTAAATATTTATGCCACATACTAATATTTATATTAAGTTCTGTAATATTTTACGCACAAATGTTTCTCGGTATTATAGCAATTAAAGAACATTCAGTAAGAATTATCTTTACTGAAGTAAAATCATAATAGAAACCAACGAAATATAATAAAAAACCACATTATAAAAAACGAATTCTTCTGCTTAAAAAGCGTGAAAGCGCTTCTTTTAGAAAACAAACCTACTCACCTTTATTTCCTTCCAAGTTACATATTCATTTATCCATTTCCGCGGAAAACCGTTAGTGTAACATTACACGAAATTCGAGCTCGAAATGTCGTCTGCGCCTTGAGGTAGGAACTCTTTACGTCAGCGAAGGGAGACGAAGTGAAACGGTTTGGTGCCACTCCGCCGCATATTGATCTCTTTGTAGGAAAATATTAAAGGCAGTTGCCCTTAGGCAATGCACAAAGGTTGATCTCTGTTACTAGGTGTGTTTGTTTTGGTTGATCGAAAAGATTTCTTTTGCATATTTTTAACACATTTAGTGCTCAGCAGAAGAGGAAATTGCATAATATTACACGCACATCACGTTTGATCGATACAGATTGATACACATTATGATAAAAACTGCATATTAATGGCTGAATTTGTTTTTTGAAGAATCACTTAGCTACAATTTATTAACTATTTCATTTCAAAAAGAAAAAGAATGCTGTCTTCTTTCAATGTAATTTGAGTATGTCGGAATTTAGAATATGGTTGTCAAAGGAAGATGAAGTTGATATTAAAGAAAAAATTAGCATTTTTTAAAGTTCAAAATTCAGAAAGGGGGAATGGGCCAAAAAGAATAAATATAATCGAAAGAACATCCCTAACAATTTAATATAGACAGCCTTCTTAAGACAATCATTTACATTTCTAGAGAACTTTGGACTTCAATGAGGTGGTCGTCTTAGGGAAGATGACTATCGGCGAGTTTAATTACCCCTCTACGTAATGGATTCATCCTTTTCATTTCTTTTGGAATTTATGAAAGAAACAATTTGTAACGAAGAGTGTAGTGTATCGATTTATTAATGAAGTTATAAGGTATTTCTCCCGCTTTCCTAGCGTCCTTCGTGGTGTAGTGGTTCTGCACGCTAGGCTGGTATTTCAGAGGTCCGTGGTTCGATTCCCGGCGAAGGCGGTTGCTATTTTTCATCTTGTCTGCTTCCAAAAAAATACCTAATGTCTCTAAGTGGGCCTGAACTAAAAAGGGTTGTGGATGATGATTTCCGCACTCAGGATTTGGCGACTAGGTCCCTAACCCTAGTCGCCTTTAGAAAGGGGAGTATATAAGGTATTTCCCGCTTTCCTAGCCTCCTTCGTGGTGTAGTGGGTTCTGCACGCTGGGCGGTATTCGAGTCGGTGGTTCGATTCCGGTGAAGACGGTTGCTATTTTCACTTGTTTTTTTCAAAAAAAGACCTAATGTCTCTACAAAGTATTGTTCGACGTCTGAGCGCAACCCTGGTTGGCATTCTGCCAAAAAAATTAGACTGTCCAAAAGGGCGGTATATTGCGCGACGAGAAATGTCTTCTCGTCTCCGGAAAGAGCTATGCTGGAGGGAAAGAAAGTCCCCATCCTTCTACCCTATTTTGAGAATAATTCGGTCCGAATGCGTGTTTGCGTTCATGGTCGCGGATAAGGCGGTCGAACTATACCAAATTATTTTTTTTCAAAGAGTTTTTCCACACTCTCGCTGAACTCGCAATCTACCAGTCTGCTATTGCACCTACACTGCTAAGCCATTACTTTTTGCATTTTTATCTTTATTATTAAGCATAATTTTCTTCGCACTTAAGCGGCTATATACATTTCAACAGCAAAATTATAAATTTTAAGAGGAGCATGTGTTTGGAATGCCCGATGAAATGCTAAGTGTAGGCATAAATTTTTTTTTTTCAGTCTTTTCTCAATTTAACATATCAATGTACAATTTTCTTAGTAAGATGGTTCACAAACTTTTTTTTTCTTTTTTTTTTATAAACGTTTTGTGCGTTAATAATGCGTTATTGATTAAATATCATGCTCTTTTCACTTACGCAACATAAAATTCAGCTTAACTGCAAAAATCACAAAATATTTGAAAACAACATAACTTTAGAATTTCCGATATACAGTCTCGTGCTCTGGAGATAACAATGTTTTAATCTGTACAGTTCTGCTTTCAAATCGTTGAGTTTGTTAAAAATTCATTAAACACTGTGGCGGTAGCTGTTCTTCTCGCAAGCAGACAGTATAAGGCTTCGCGTTTTTCATAGACACGATGCGAGCGTTAATGAAGCCAGCAGCTATTTTTGATGATAGTAGAACTTCAAGAGTGACCTTTCTGGAACAATTAGACTCACTTTACCCAATTACAGAATTGCGAAAAATCACCAAAAACCTCTGCGCAACATAAACTGTTGGACTAACTGTGACAAAAAGATTGCCCTCTGGTAGAGAAGAAGCCAGAGAAGAACTTAGTAAAAGCCAAGTGTCTAACTTGATACGTTGTATCAGACTCTAGCTCTGTAATTTTCTTAAAGTTAAATGTAATTTCCGTGTGTAACTTAAACCTATTAATAAATACTTGTTACACTATAGAGGATTCTTCTATAACCCTATCTAAACGACCTCCTCACAAAGTGGCGCCCAACGTGGAGCGTCAACTATAACCCAAACTACCATAAACAAAGACTCACTTGGCCTTTTAAAATAGTTTTAATTAACAAAACACAATTATGATAAAACATTACAATTAAGGGCGTTAATAATTACACATTTAAGTTACAAAGTAAATCGCGTGGAACAACATCTCGGGGAAACAGCATGCTTAGTTCATGACTCCCGTACATCGACTGACGGCTATTATCTTTTTTGGCCGGGGTTTATTCTGGCGGCCGCTAGGTGGCGCTCGTTGAGCCGTGGGGTTACATTGGTAAATTTGTGTTAGGATAAGGGACAGTGAGAATACAGATTTGACGTATTTAAAACTGCCCTTGTGAAAGCATCCCTCATGGTGAAAGAGAGGAGAAAATTCAGAAGCGGAACTAGTATTTGGTAAATATCAAACTAAGATCGAAGAGTTGATTGAGTTCATATTAAAGGAAAATGCTAGTATGGGAAAACGCCCGATGCAGATTTGTTGCCTCAAATTCAAGATTTTAAGGAATTACGAAACCCGAGTACACTGGATCAGTTATTTGAGCTAGCAGTGAAATTAGAAAGTTAGAAAGTTGGCGAGTATCAGTGAGTACAAACACAGCGGAATACGAGTAGAAATCGAACTGATGTTTTCGTAGATTTATAGAGGAAAGAAGCCTACGGATTGACGGTAGTATACGTTTCGATAGCTCGAAGAAATTTCCAGTCACGGTAATGTGATCTAGATGTCGCCAAAATCCAGTTTTTATTAAAAGTTTAATTTCAAAATTCATATAATTGTTAAAACAGCGAAGATAATATAAGAATTTTTTACCCAAATTATTCTTCACAATTAATAAGTGTTTGTTGTCCAAACAGATAAAATTTGGAATTTAGAATTTAGATATTTTAACGACGGGTATTTTAAAATTTCTTCGAAGGCATCCTGATGCCCAAGGGCACTTGTGTTGCAGACCCCTGGTTTAAGTAATCCCTGTAGAAAGTTAATGTAAGCGAAAAGTATTCAAGAATTGCATAATTTTTTGTAAAATTAAAATTAAAACCAAAATTGAACTCAGAGAAATTACACCAAAACTTCGGGGAAAAAGAAAAAAAAATCTATCTAAATAAATGCGAACAATCACTTTAGATTGAGAAATGTTAAGAACTTTTTTTTTTTTTTTTTTTTAATAAATAAAAATGGATATATTTTGCATTTCCCGAGACATTTACATCAAGGGGATGGTACCTAGAGAAGCATAAAAGAATTTTAACCTATTGCTGTGTATGCAAAGGTATGTGGGGTGTAATAAAAAAGGGATGTCCGAAAGAAATGCCACCGACACTCCAGCACTACGGACGATATTTTTAGCCCAAAGGAGCGTTAGCTCAGAAGGGCTATTAATTTCGTTTTGGCATTTTGCATCGATTCACTTTCTGCGTTGTTTCACTTTTAAAACTGTTGCCACCAAATATTACAGCCATGTATTATGTTTAAGGAAATTAAATAATGAAGAATCTGCATAAATGTATGTATGTTTGTCGCATTGTGAGAAAACAACGGTACCTAGAGCCATCAAATTTTGAATAACGTAATTCTCCTCCGAATATGGGCATCTGGAAACCCAAATTTGGAATTTAGAATTTGTTTTATTATCGATTTCATGTTTTGTAACACTTTAACGAATTTTTGATTAAGAAACTAGGCAATTCCGAAGCGAGAAATGGCAATACTATTAAGAAAAAATCAGCTCTAGCGCCCGAGACTGTGTATCGGAAATTCCAAAGGTATGCTCATTTGGAAATTATTTTGCGATATTGCTGTTGAATTGAATTTTATGGTTTAAGTGCGAAGAACATGATATTTAATCAATAAAGGTAATGCAGAACACGTTAAAAACGCTCGTTTGGGCGTAATGTAAAATCTGAAAGCTTTTAAATTTTTTTAGTTTTTGATACTTACGTTTGTGAATTTATGTTGCGACGGCAGTATGCAGATTCTAGTTCAGATAATTTTAAACAGTTTTTAGATGTTAAGGAATTCTATGTGCCACACACCGAAGACATCGAAATTTCTAAACAAGGTTAAGTCGATATTTTCTTTTTGTACTTACGTATTATCGCAACCAGGTTGACGCTATTTGTAAGTTTGAGTAAAAAATTATGAATAGAAAGAAAATGTACATTTATTAATTACAGATAATTTTTAATACAGTTTTTTATATTATTTTGTTTTAAAAAAAAATATAAAATAGCAATTAACCCTTCCGGTTTCGAATAAGTTGCAGAATTATTTTTTCGGCGGAAATCTTTGGCTATTGCTTTTAGCACTGATTGAAAACCGTATTCGCCATAACCATGTACACGTCGACTTATTTTTATACTTAAAAAAACATCCCAGAAATGCACAAAAGGGCATTGCGCACACTTTCCTTTATTAATGTACCTGCTATTTTCTCATAAATTACAAAAAATTTGCACGAAAATGCAGGAAAATTTTGTGAATCTCCACATGCTCTTTTTACAAAACTACGTATAACACGTAGGGTTGCCGTAAGTAGGGTCGCCAAATTTCGCAATTTATGCGAATTTTGGCCTGGTTGCGTTAATACGTAAGTACCTTTCTTTTTGTAAAGCGCGGATTAGCTAACATATAATTCTATTTTTATGTTATTTCCTTGTTTTCTTTTGACTTAAAATGCTGTTCATTGATATTG